GGGCCAGTGAGATGGCTCAGTAGTTAAGGGTGCTTACCACGAAAGTGGACTACCTGAGTTCGATGCCCAGAATCCACATGGTGGAAAGAAAGATGTACTCCTGCCAGCTGTACCACGCACCCCATCCTACCCCCCATCAAACACACACAAAATAAATGTTTTTTTATATTTTATTATTTTTATTTTATGTGTACGAGTGTATTTCCTGCATGTATGTGAGTACACCCATGTCATGCAATGCCGCGGAGGTCAGAAGAGGGCTTCGGATTCCTCTGAACTGGAGTTAAGGATGGTTCATAGCCGCCATGTGGGTGCTGTGAATTGAACCCGGGTTCTCTGCAAGAGCAGTCAGTGCTCTTAACTGCTGAGCCATCTCTCCATCCCCAAATAAATGTTTTTAAAAATCCAAATTTTTGTTGGTAGTTTCAGTGTAGTTTCAGAGGGAATGGAATTACAAATGTCCATTTTAACCTAAAATGTCCTTTTAACAGAAAGCAAACAAACTAATCTTTCCTTGTCAAGAATATATTTCCTTATAACCTCATACCCTGGAAAAACTAGGAATGAAAAAAATTCTATCCATTGATGTGTGTGTGTGTGCATGCATGCATGGACAGGTATGTGCACTTGTGTATGAAGGCCAGAGGTCGACATCAGGTGTCTTCCTCAATTGCTTTCCACCCTATTTTTAAACACATGCTCTTCATATCACTCAACTAGCTTTATCTCAACAAAGAGTTAACGACTATGCTCACTGCACATTTGGCTTTAGAGTAATAGTGTTGAGCAAAATTCAACTGGCATTAATGGAGTTTGCAATTGATTAGGGGTAAAATACATATTAATAATGAAATTATATAAATAAATGTAAAAACTGTGATTCTAACATATGGTGATATGTGACAGCTTTACAGGGGTACTAGATCTGGAAAGGGAGGTCAGAAATGTCTGGGAGGAAGTAAGTTGAAATAGTGCTAACCAGAAGAGAAGGCAAGAAGTGTTTTGCTTGCAAAAAGGAAGTAATAGTCCAAATAGAGGATCTGTCATCTATACACCTGATAATTCATTAACCCTGTTCTCTACTAGGGAGACTATTTCTTATAATTAAAAACAAGATTCAAAGCCGGGTGTGGTGGTGCCCGCCTTTAGTCTCAGCACTCAGGAGGCAGAGGCAGACAGATCTCTGTGAGTTCAAGGCCTACCTGGTCTAAATAGTGAGCTTCAGGCCAGCTGGGGCTACAGGGAGACCCTGTTTCAAAAAGGCCAAAAAAACCCCAAACAAACCAAGATTCAACAGATATTTCCATATATCATATTGGGCACACACATTATAATTTTTGTTTTTGGTCTTTTTGAGACTGGGTCTCCCTGTGGCTCCAGCTGTCCTAGAACTCACTATGTAGACCAGGATGGCCTTGAACTCACAGAGATCCATCTGCCTCTGCCTCCCGAGTGCTGGGATTAAAGTTGTGCACTATCATGCCCGGCCACATTATAATTTTTATTTATTTATTTTTATTTTATGTGTATGAGTTTTTTGTCTGCTCCCATGTCATGCAATGCCTATGGATGCCAGAAGAGGGTGTTAGATCCCCTGGAACTGGAGTTAAGGATGGTTGTTAGCCACCATGTGGGTGCTGGGAACTGACCCAGGTCCTCTGCAAGAGCAGTCAGCCCTCTTAACTACTGAGGCATCTCTCCAGACCCACATATATAATTTTTTAAGTATATCATT